GTTATTCCGTGGATGGTGATTAGAAGATCGGAGTTGGCTTGCCAAATGCCCTCGAGGGTCGTGTACAGGATGCTAAAGATCAAAGTTACTGGTGACGGTACAAAGTGCGCATACTGGAAGATGTGCGATGGTTTTAGTTACATGGAGTGTATTTCATCATTAGTGAATGAGAGGAGACTAGAAACAGCCATTAAATCATGAGTGAACGAGTACACTCCGAAGGAGTACGGAGTGTGGTATTGCGCGAAAAGAGAGATTGACAAAAGAGAAATGAAGTCAACCGTGACGAATGACTGACGGCGATATGCTGCGGCCAGTTTCATTCATCTAGTGAGCAGTTTTCAATGGAGATAATAGAGGGAAGGTACGACATTGCGCCGGGTGCCAGCGTGTGACCTGTTTGAACTATCAAACGATTTCTGATTGGTTTTACCACAGCAGTGAAACAAAAAACAGGACAGCTAATTGAACATTATAACGAGATAAGTGCTTTTGTTATTCAGTCGTCAATGGCATTTGCTCGACCCTTAAAATAAAGTAATTCTTTCAGGTGTTTTGAAACGAAACACCACCCAAAACACACACACGAAAAGAACAATAAAACCCAATACATTCAATTAATATACGAACTGAATGAAACCTAATTCAAATCAGGGTGAGACTGGGCTCGACGCCAACAAACAACCGGTTTAGCACCGTCACTGAACTCAAGCTGGTTGGGAGCACAGCACTTACCTTGTTTTTCAACTCCTGATTCTGTACAGCGATCGAGCGTTTTCGCTCCTCCTCACGAGCGTGTCCCGCTTCGATCACGGCTTTCAACTCTTCCGGCAGATCCTTACCTTCCTTCAACAATGTGACCTAGACAAATGAGATGACTTGATGGCTAAACTAAGAGCGACGAGGAGGAGGAAAGGGGGAAAACAACGACGCATGCATGCATGCAAGTCCAGGACCCAAGGAGAGAGTTAGTTATTCCTAGACGCCTTCAATCGTCTCAAATCGGTCGGCTTCTATAGTTTGCTGGTATATAGGCAATAATCAGTTTCTTGAGGTTTGTTCACTGAAAGGAGGTAAAACAACTGGTGTATTGCTATGATCATTCACTATCATCGCTCGCGATGCAAATATATGATGACCGAGATAAAAGAGGTGTACGGCTGCCTTGTTGTTGTTGAGACACATCAGCAATGCGGAATACTTTTGTATCTCCACCCGGACTAGAACCGCAAAACTTCGAATTTTCAGTGGAATACCTTATTTCTGGGTCACATTATATTATTAATACGACTGGATGACACTAGAAAGATTTGGGATCAAAATAAAGTTTTATCCAATTTAGTAGACAACCTTGTCAGCATTTATCATCCGTACCCCGTAAAAACCGGAAGGTGCACAGTAATAAGACTCACACGCCACAACTGAACCAGTTAGCTGTTGTTCCTAACAACCTTGTTCCAGTTCACAATACCATTTCATATTCTACTTCAATTTTCTGTTTTTAGTAATCGATTTGGTCAATCAAAGAATCTTTGATAACTGTTTTGTAGCACTTCACGGTTCATTTTCTATTGTTCTTTGGACAGAACAAATAAAACACAATTCGATAGACCCCCACAAACTTGTCAATTCCTCCTTTGAGTGAGTAACTACTGCCAATTGATATCAGTCTTCATTGTGAAAAGGAATTTACTCGGGAAAGAAGTGCTATCGTAAGGAATAAGTCCTCTGACCTAAATGGGTTGTCTCCATCAGCCTTTAATGGAGGCTCAGTCTTGGCCTTGGAATTGACGAAACTTTTGAGATATGTATGGAAAACTAAACAGGTTTCAGTTGAGTGATGAGAGTGGGTGATCTTTCCGATTAACAGTACCAGAGATAAATTCTCTCGTGAAAATCACAAGAGAATTTATTTAATCAACAGCGTCCCTAGGACAGGTGTTCTACCCCGTCAATTAGCTATCATAAGTGAATGCATGACACCCAAGATGGATTCACACCTGGTCGAAATTACATCGATCGTACTTTCACCTATCGACAAATTTTGGAACAAAGACAGCGTGGAACCGCTATGTGAAGATTCGAGTAAGTTGTAGGCTTTTCGGGATGGCTTGTGTAATATGCATTTTGCACCCTCAGAGTGTAAAATGTAGTTGTAAAACTGCGTAAGTTCGGACCCCAAATTCACCTTGAGCAGGAGAGTATTAGAGGAAGTAGACAAGTTTTATTTCTTAGGCAGCTACCTCTCGCTCGGAGTATGCATTAGGGATGAATTGTTGGCACTAATACAGAAGACTCGGTCGACATTTGCCAATTCGAGACACATGGCACCGTCGCGATATTCACCTGTAAGTCAAGAGTCAAGTGTCTGCTGCAGCCGTTTGATAGGTGCCTCTACATGATGCACATACTTGACCAATACAGTAATAAGACAGACAATCAATATCTGAACACTATCAACGCTGCACTGCAAGAGTATGGACGAGTAGTCGGACAAGTAATGCCGAGGTCATGTTCAGAGCTTGGGCAAAAGTGGCGACCCACAGGAGCACGTAGTCAATCCCCGTGGATCACGCTGCACGAGGCATATGTTAAGCATGTCACCTGGTGGGCTTCTTAAACTGAGGCAGGTAATGAGTGGAAAAACGTCGAGGGNCGAGGGTGGTCAAACTAAGGCCCGGCATGAGAAAATGACCAGGGGACTTGTTCACATACGCCACTTTAGGCTACATGGATAAGGGCCTTGAGATCAGAATAATCGAGATTTGGAGATAGAGTGACATGGCAGATTGCCGAAAACAGCGGCGCTCGTGTAACCACTCAACAGCAGTGCAGCCTTAGTGTACTTGAATTATTTATTATCACACTGAGACTGCTTACAATATTCCGATTATTCCCTCTAAACCTTCATTCAAATGGTTAGGAAAAATACAGCAAGCGAAAGCGCAACGCGAAAGTGCAAGGTTAACGGTTGCACAAATGGAACTGAAGTGAACGGGTTAACTACGTTTTAGACGGTAGAAGAGAGTTTTAAAATGGGAAAGTTTTAGTATAAACAGTGACACAACTATATGAGCACAATCACTAGCAAGATGATTATCCCCGCGCCTCCAAAAAACTCGGTTCTGAATGTTTATGCAGTGAATGTTGCATACGGGTAAGGATGTTTATGTTTCAACAGGAACAAGCTTCATACACCTCAACAATATCAAAGGGTTATAACAACAAATCGGTTGGGCAAAGGCGAAAAACCGGTTCCGAAACTGAAATATCCCATCATACGTTCCATAAACTTGGCGAGTGACCAAACAAATTGGATATCAAAACAAGAAAAACCGATCTCATGTTAACTACCAACGGTAGAGATGATTGGTGTGTCATCATAAATTTCTACGATACAAATAGGCGAGTGGCATGAAGAAAATAGGAACCCACATCGCATGTAGATTAACGGAAAACTCTTTCAAAATTAGAGAATGAATTTGCGCTCTTGTAACAGTGAGCCTTGTAATTACAAAATAAACCATTTTCGATACACACATGCGGCTTTCGGAACATATTATAAACAGTGTAAATCTCTTTTGGGGTTCCAACATCATCCACATGTAGTGGATAACATGATGTTTTCAGATAGAAGTCTGCATGTGGCAAATAAGAACAGTTCTATCGATCTCACAGAGATTTTATGCCAGCGGAACATTTCCTATCGAAAATACCGGAAGAATTAATGATAAAAAACTGTGATTCTCTTAATCTAACGACATGTCCGGGCTGAACGAAGTTGGCATATTAAATGCACTCAGAGCCTGAGTGAAACACTAGAAAAAATGATCGGTTAATAATTGAGCAAAGCAACTATTCCCACCGAGATATAATTACACTTCGCAATGCTTACTTAGCAAAACAAAAGCTGGTACTGAATTTGTATCTTACAGCAATCCATTATGAACTGCGCGGCATTGGAACCTCCCACTGGTTAAGTGACGTTTATGTTTCTACTACTGATAAAGTGTTAGTAGTTACTGTCAAACGTTAAAAACAGCCATGAAGTAAATTGCAGTAAAAGTAGTCCCAATAGTCCATTGCATTCGAAATATGCTCGAAGCAAACGTGAAGACTCATACCGATGATCTCTAATTTCCAGGCCGCAGATCTTACTAACAGGATAAAACAAGGCAGTACATCGATGGAAAACCTACCTGCTGTCGAAGTACCCGAATCAGTTCGTCTTTTTCGCTGAGCATCAGTGTGTAGTTCACCTCGACATCCTGCTTGGCTTTTTTATCAAGCTCGAGCTGATCTTGAAGCTCATCGATGCGGCGCATGGATTTTATTTGATTGGTCTCTATTTGCTCCTTCATTTGATCTCGTTCGCGCTCCAANACGAAGAGAAAGTGGTGACATGGTGTGAATAATGACTTTATTGAACAAAAACCAATCACAAGGTAACTTAAACCGCGTGGATCCGAAAGACTACACAATTTAATAGACCAATAAAAATAGGATTCATGTACATTTCATGCAGCGAATTTGGAAGCTGAGATTCGTGCTAATAATGATAATAATAATGA